TGCCTCTCGGTATCTCGATTATCAGCTGTGGGGTTCTACAGGCTTTCGGTTCCAGGGTTAGGGTTCCGGGTGGAGTTTAAGTTTAGGGTTCAGGATATACAAGGTTCCGGGTTTAGCACAGGTTTACCCAGATCCGTGGAGTGACAGGATCCCGTATAGGGCTTAGGGTTCTAGGGTTCTGGGTCGCATACTTATACATTGGAGTAGACATGCACTGTACTATATGCACATCGCGATCGATTACCTTGATCGATGCTGCTGGCCACAAGAGATGGCGGAGTCTGTGTACAAAACCAGTCTTGCATGGCATTGTTGCTGCAATCTGACAGATGGAAGATTGGCGACCCTGGCATGTCGGCATGGTGATCGTACTCATTCGCTTGCAACTGTCATGCGACATGCGAGTAAAGTCTTGAGTGCCCTCGTGCGAGAAAGAGAGAGAGAGAGAGAGAGAGAGAGAGAGAGAGAGAGAGAGAGAGAGAGAGAGAGAGAGAGAGAGAGAGAGAGAGAGAGAGAGAGAGAGAGAGAGAGAGAGAGAGAGAGAGAGAGAGAGAGAGAGCGCCCAACCAAAGTAGGTGCCCAACCTTTTGGTGTGCGGGCTCCTGGTGTTCCCAGGTAAGGTCCTAGCGCAGGACCATGCCGAAGAAACTCTACTCAGAGTGTGTTCATTGCGGCATCGGATGGGTGTGGAAATCCGAAAAAGCCTGGTATCCCTGCTGTTGGCACTGCGGGTCGCCATGGCCAGGACCCTACAATCCGCCCACACACACCTCGAGCGCGCAGAGCCCAGCACGCAACAGCCAGGGAGACTGGGAAAAGTGGCAGACCTGGGCTCGCCAGGAAGTCCAACAAGAGAAAGATTGGTGGGAGCAACCAGTAAAGCAGCAGCCGCGCAGGCCGAGGAGGCAGGTGGATCACCCGCCAGGACTGGGATGGACCGGTGCTCAGATGACTCCCCAGGAGTACGAGGATGCCGTTGCCAGTCTGTGGCAGGATGCAGATCCGCAAGCCCAGAAGGTTCTTAGGGCCTGTGGCATAGAGCCGCCGGCACAGGAGAAAAGTGATGACCCAAGGGTCACGCTTCAGAAGTATCTGTCGGCGTACAAATCGATCACCCAGGCACACAGGAACCTGGTGGAGCGCAAGGTGAGATTGCAGGCGCGAGCTGACAAGATCAAAGCCCAGTTTGAGGCAGCTCTTAAGGAACTGGCGCATGTTTCAAAGGCCATTGAAAAGGCAGAAGCCAACCTGGGAAAGGTGCAAAGCCAGGTGCAAGAGCAACTCAAGAATGCTGAGCCGCCAGAAGCCAAGGAAGTCCACGACCTCCAGGGTCTGCTTAAGGTGGCTGGTGTTGAGCTGTCTGCCACACAGGAAGGGGCCCTATCCGCCTACTTGCAAACGAGGCGTGAGGAAAGGGACCTGGAAATGGAAGAGGATGGCAATGATGATCCTTTTTGGAAGCCTAGGCTCCTTTGTCCCCCTGACCTCGAATGCCTTCAGAGCTGACCTGGGATCCCCAGGGTTGTCGCAAGCGTTTGGGCCCATCAAGCCCAGAAAGGTTCGTAGCAACCCACTCTCCCGTAATGACGGGGAGAAGGAAGAGGATTGAGAAATGGGGCAGGGAGCCTTACTAGGATGGTGGAAGCCATGGTGCCGTCCCAGGTGGGTTTCCCAGCAAAGCCCTTGGCCCCAACCATTGCGTGTTTTGAGTCACAAGAGCGAGAGCCCCACAGCCATTTTGGTTGAGGTGGGTGCCTTTTTAAAAGAGCAGCAGAGGCCGCGGCTCCTTGTTGAGAAGCCCCAGGCCCAGCAGTTTTTTTGTGAGTTGTGCAGTCAGCCTACTGACCGGCTGATGCAAACCAGCGAGGACTGGTGTGCTGCATTATGGGTGGCAGAAAAACATGTTATCCAGAATGTGCAGTCCCTGGTCTGTTCGCCAATTTTGGAAGCTTACGCAAAAAGGGCTTACCACCTGCGGCAGAAACCGCTTGGGTGCTTGCGTGTGGCAGAAAGCGGAAGAAGCATGGCGTGCAGGGAGCAGCTGTTGTGAGCCGATTCCTGGGGTTTGGCCTCAGGTTGGAGATGCGGCCCTGACTGGGGCCCACTATTTTCCGATTGATTTTGAAGAGGCTGGGGATGGTGATTGGGTGGCAGCGGTGGAACTGCCGCATCAAACCAGCCCACCTGGTGCCAACCAGGCTAGCCCACAACCTGCACCTCTGCAAAAGCACAGTCCTCCCTCGACGGGAGCCCACGACAACCAGACCAGCAAAGGCCCCCCTGGTGCGCCAACCAGGAAAGACTGGTGCCAACTATCGGACCTCCTGGTTGAGGAGCCTCAGTTCTGCATGCAGGCAAAGGAGGCTGCAATTTTGGAGTGGGTTGAGAACTTTGAGCACAGTCTGATCCCGGGAAGTTTGGCGCACTGGGTGGTTTTTCGTATGGTTGAGTGTCTGGAAGCGAGGGAAGAAGACACGATTGGGATTCTTGCCGGTATTGAGGATATCAAGGCCCAAGAGCTCAAGCAAAAGGCTTCTGGCCGCTGCAGTGTCCTGCAGGCTAATATCACCTCATACCGGTCGGAAATCCGTCAATGGCTGGTGCAAAACCAGTACACCGTTGCTTGCCTGCAGGAAACTCACATGAATGCAAGCAAAACAAAGGAAATGGTAGCTGCTTTCGGTGCCGTGGGCCAAGATGCCTGGGCTCTCCAGGCGGCACCAACTGAAGCGGCTACCAGTGGAGGTCTGGTCACAGTTGCCCCTAGCAGGTTCCAAACTCGACACTTGCACAAGCACGAAGTGGAAGGCAAGGGTTTTGTCTTCATGGGCATCCGGTTTCGTGGTTGGGAGTTGGCGGTTGGGAATATCTACCTTGAGTCTCGAAAAGGACCTTCTGGTGGGTTAAACCCTGGTATACTGGCGGCCCTCATCGACTTCCTCAGAGACCTGAGATTGCCCTGGTGTGTTGTGGGGGATTGGAATTGCACACAGGAGGAATTGGCCTCATCAGGTTTTGTCTCAGCCTGCCGTGGCAAAGTGGTTGCCCCTCTTGAAGCAACCACGACCCAAGGTTCGTCTATAGACTATGGCGTTGTCTGTAGAGAACTATCTGCCAACATGCAAGTGGAAACGGACTGGAACGTGCCGTTCAAACCGCACAGTGCGGTGTGGTACCACTTTCATCTTGAAGGCCTAAGCCTGCCTGTACCGCAGCCGGTGCTGTGGTGTGGTGCACCTGGTGAAAACCAGGAATCTCTGTTGCCTGAAAAACAGCTCCAGAACGTTCAGGCCCTCTTTGAGACACCTAGTAAGGCACAGGTGGACATCAATTGGGGCAAGGTGATCCAAAAGGTGGAGCTGCAGCTCGGAATGGAGCAAAGAGGCAGAGGTTGGCAGTTCCCTGTCCAACGTAAACCGTTGGTGGCGCCCAGCTCGCCCTTCAAACCTTGGCAAGGGGGGAGCGTGGCCTATTGGGCGAGACTTCAACTTTGGGTACAGCAAAGGCTAGATAGACCCCTCAAGCCTGCCCAAATGAAGCTCTTTTGGGTACCAGGTCAGGCGCATGCATCAACACGTTGGTGAGGATAACCAACTTGATGTTGAACGTTTGCAACAACAATTGGAGTCCTTCATGATTGGCCACAGAGTTGATTTGGAGGTGGTGCAAACCACGTTGCAAAAGGCTGAACAAGCTGCAAAGAAGTGGAAGCAGGCCAGGCAAGAGCAATACCAGACCTGGCTTCAGGGTGCGTGCGAAGGCGGCATGCGGGGCCTTTTCAGAGCACTCAAGTCGCCGGATAACAACAATGCCAGGCCTTACCGTGATATCAGCGGGGAAATCAGGCCTCATGTGAGGCGTGAGCATTGGAAAAAGGTCTGGCAAGCCTTGCCAGGCAACCAGAAAGAAGAGCATGAGGTCTATGCCCAGCTGTGGGAATTGGCGAGGGAAGAGCTCAAGAAGTTGGGGCCACTAACTGAGCAACAGGTTGCCCAAGCCATAAAAAAGCTGGCAAATAAGGCCAACGGCCCTGACGGCGTCACGGGGCCCATGCTCAAGGCCCTCTCTGAAAACCAGATCCGTCTGGTGACCTCTGCCCTGCAGGTTGTGATGTCGCTGGTTGCTCTCTTGCCAAAGAAGGACACGGAAGAGCGACCGATTGCTTTAACATCGTATGGGTACCGTCTCTGGTGTAAATCCAGATATTACCTCCACGACCAGTGGGCTCAGGAGTACAGCCAGTACTCCCCATGGGACCGTGCGGTCAAAGGCATGTCCTCCCTTCAGGTTGCCGTGACACGGGTCATGAAGGGAGAGATGCACCGGCAAAACCAGTTGCCGGGAATCACGTTGCTGTTGGACCTCAAAGGTTTCTACGAGAACGTGACACACCAGGACCTGGTTTGTAGCGCCATCAAGCATAAGTACCCTGTTGTTCTTTTGCATGGTGCTATGCAGGTGTATCGGGGCAAAAGACACCTGCATGCTGAAGGCATGATCAGTGCCCCACTGGTGGCAACCAGAGGCATCCTTGCGGGTTGTCCGTTGGCCCCGGGGTTATCCAAACTGGTCATGCATGACGTGGTGGAGCCCATTTGGAAGGGGCCACCAAAATGCCATGTTGACCTGTATATCAATGATACGGGTTTTGACATTGTGCACAGCGACCCTAAAAAGTGTGCCCAGAATGCCTACAAGGTGTGGCAGGTTGCCAAGCGGAACTTGAGGGATGCCCACCTCCCGCTCAGTGTGGATAAGACAACTTTCAATCGTGATTGATTAGTCTTTATTCTTGCCCAAAAACCTTTTGAAAATTTTGGGTGCGAAAATTTTCTGTCTGCATGTCAATCGTTGTTCGCCACACACTTTGTTCCCACGAAGCCTTTTTGGCTGAGGTGGGAGGTGGGAAACCCTAGCAACTTTCAAGGCCATATGGCTTGGTTTTGTTTTGTTGCTAGGGGTGTGTGTTAGGAAAGTCAAGTCAGCCTGAGTACTGAGCCATGGCTGACTCTGACAGATCGAAGTTTCCACGACTGGGTGATCCTACGAGCGACTTGGGACGCTTGTGTGAGCGGGCACTGAGTGAAGCGAGTGTGCAGCTTGCGGGTCAGGCTACTTTGAAGTTACCTTGGGAGAAGGGCATTTATGCCGAGATTTTCAGTGGTAGCGAGCTGCCTAAGATGCCTGCCTTACCTGTGCCTGCTACATTTCCAGTCGTAGATGTTGCGAGACCTGGGACCCATCACAGCGAAGCCTTGAAGCAGACATCTGATCCACTGCCGAAATTCGAGAGTGCAGTCTACAAGCATTGTCTGCATAAATCAATTATTGCTGCTGGTGGAAGACCTGGGACAGATCGAGATGCCGTCTACAGACGCTGGCTTTGCATTCTGGGTCATAATCTTGCTGGCTCAAAGATTGGGGAGTTCATTGCTGATGGTGCCGAAGACCCTCTTGTTTTGGTCTCTGATGCTTTTGGAGGGAAAAGTACGAGCACCCTACTTAAGAGAGCCAGGTTTGTCACCCGGATGCTTACGTGGGCGTCTGAGCATAGTCAGACGTTTTTTCCGCTGCGGCTTGGACCCTTGCTTTCTTTCATGCGCAGTTTGACATCGGAGAGTGCCAAGGCCCAGTGTGGAGCGACAGTCAATTTCCTTGTTCATGTCCTTGGAGTACATGGCGATCTGGATATCTTGAAGCATCCTGTAATCCAAGGGCTTCTACGGGGGTCTCGGTCAACAGGGAAAGAGATCAAGCAGTCCAGGGTGCTCACTGTCCGGGAAGTTATGGCGCTCGAAGATATGCTCAGTGATGTATCCCTTGATCCTGTTGATCGATATGGTGCAGGAGTTTTTCTCTTCCAGATTTACAGCCGGGCAAGAGTGTCCGACATCAGGAACATCCATCGCTTTGAGCTCGACCTGAGTGGAGATGACGGGTACCTCGAGGCGAAGACGATGGATCACAAGAATGCGACCAGAGGACGTGGGCTGGGGCAGAGCTTGATTCTCGTTGCTCCGGTTCAGGGCCTGCGGGATAAGGCGTGGGGTATCCAGTTCATCGAGGTTGCAAAGATGGTTGGGTTCAACCTCCGACAGGGGCATCGTGGACCTTTGTTACCTAGACTTACTGCCGAGCGCCAGTGGTCAGGGGAGGCGATCGGGTCCGATGAGACTACATCGTGGCTCAACGATCTGTTGAATCGCGCTCTGAGTGAGCAAGTTGAGTCAGGACTAACATCCCATGGATTAAAGGCAACAACCCTCTCCTGGATGACGAAGGCTGGGTATCCCGAAAAGTCGTGCCTCATTTTGGGACATCACGCGAGAGCGGGGAAGAAATCTCTTTACACACACGGCAGAGACGTGCAAGCTAAACCATTACGTGAACTACAGGATTGCATTCGTCTCATCAAGCGTAATGTGTTTGCTCCGGACTCTACTCGAAGTGGCATGTTCAACTCGAGCGAGAGCAGACATGTACCAAAGGATGAAGTTAAAGATCCCCTTATTCTCGCCGCTGAGCAGTTCCGTTGTGGCGATCCTGATGAAGTCATTGACTCTGGAGGTGATGTCGGAAATGAACACGAGCCCTCGCTCAAGGAAGGAAAGCCGGCTGACGCGTGTGATGTTGAGCCTGAGCAGGATGCTGAGGATTCCGACTCGAGTACCTCTAGTTCTTTAGGATCTTCTGATGACAATGCCGAAGCCTATGAGAGTTTCGCCAGTGATGCTGCCCTTGACTGTGCTGTGCCCCACCTAAGTAAAGAGGTGGATTTGGATGTTTTCCAAAACCCAAAAACTCGTTCCCTCCATACCCGAGCGAAGGGTTCCGATGGCCCCCTTATGTGTGGCCGCAAAGCTGAGGGAATGAAGATTTTTACGAGTAGGGTATACAGCAAGTTTTGGATGTGTAAGCAGTGTGAGCAGGCTCGGCCGCTCAGGGACACGAAAGCTGTCGTTGCATACCTGAGCAAAGTTACTAATCCCAAGAGCGCAGGACCTAGTGGTCTTCATTGAGAATTGCGAGGGCTATGGGCCGGCACAGCGCTTTGCGCGTGCACTCGCAGTTTTGGAGAACATGTGATGGGAAGACTGCGCTCGGGCCTGCACCGCACATTGTGCCTGCGCTCGCGAACTTGTGCAAATCGGATTTGCGAAAGGTTGGGCGAGGGCTTCGGGCCTGCGCAGCACATTGTGCTTGCACTCGCAGTTTACTATCGCTCATTGTGTGAAAGGCTGGGCGAGGGCTTCGGGATTGCACTGCGCATTGTGCCTGCACTCGCGAACTTGTGCAAAATGATCGTGGTGGCTAAGAGTCTGCTTACCGTCGTGTGGTGGCTACGGGCCTGCACGTCGTCCTGAGGACGAGTGCGACCACATGGCAGGAATCCTTGACTGGCGTGAGTACCGAATTGAGCCAAAAGGTGTGTGGAACCTGGTGATGACACATTTGTCACCCATGTGCGATTACGACTTGTGGGCAGCTTCGAGCTGATTGAATAGAGCCGTCTTATGCGCAAAAGACCAGCAGTAGTGCGTCGGCATGGCGGTCCCACTGACAGAGTCCAAGGCCGTGTTCTTGGAAAGATGTGAGACGGCCGGATTGCCAACACCGATCCGGGATGTCTTGGTTGGGAAGAATCTCAGTACTTTGGTAAGTCTTGCATTCGCAGCGGGGCAGCCGGGGGAAACGCCGAGTGATGCAGCACTCACCGGCTTGGCGAGAGCAGGCACTGAGGAGGTTCCAATAGCGACCCTCGCATCCTTGAGGCGGTTGGTGTTTGAAGCGCAGCTCCTCATGACCGCGCAGGTGAAGATGTTGATTGAGCATCGTGCCGATGACCAAAAGGCGGAGTTAGCACCTGCAGAAAGATCGGAACGAATCCAGAAGCAGAGCGAGCGCTTGGCTGGCGTCGCACTCCGCAACGAGTCTGAGTGTTCCTATGGGTCATACGATCTGGTGATGAAGATGGTCCAAGAGAACTGCGTCTCCTACCTTTCGCCAGCCAGGTTTCCGTCTCGACAGGCCGAACTTCGCCTGGAGAAACATCGGAAGGAGCCTGATGTGGTCAACTCAAAAATCACCTTGAAGGACCAGGCGGTTGATCTTCAATGCCAGCTTCACACGCCGCTGTGCCTTCATCATGCTCTTCATCGTCGGGCACTTGCAATGGATCTTGTCGGGGTAGCCAGCTACAGTGTGAGCATGGAGTTTCACGAGTACTTGATGTCACACCTTACTATGGAACCACCGCCTGGCTATCATCAGGTTACACTGCATCAAGTCCTAGCAGCTGACCGAGCCGCTTGGTTGCGACTCGCGGAGAAACTTCCCAAAGGGCTTCGCGCTGGTCCCGATGGCAAGCTCCCGGTAGACGTCGAGCTCCCAAAATTGCAGGGCGACCCGAAGGTGGCTTTTCATCTCTTACCGCTAGGGCCTTCTGCATCCTCATCCAAGAAGCGATCGTTGGAAGGCGACCAAGGCAACGATTCGATTATCCGACGAACTGGAGGCAAGGGTAAAGGGAAGGGCAAAACCAAGACTAAAGCCACTCCTAAGTCTATGCCTGTATCCCTTAAAGATAAGTGGTCGCGAACCAAACGTGGTGTGCCGATCTGTTGGGCCTTCAACACGGAGGAGGGCTGCAGTGCAGCCCCCGCTGGTGGCAGGTGCCCGCGAGGTGTCCACCTGTGTGCTGAGCCTAATTGTCAGAAACCCCACCCCATTATCAATCATTCGAAAGTTGCCAGTGGGTGAACATTTCAGAACGCAGGTTGTGACTTGATTGAATCACTGGAGGTTTTCCTTAACCGTGCTAGGGCTCGGGTAACTGGTGTTTCTGTCGAGTCACTCTTTGGAGTCGAAGTTTTTGCAGGGTCTGGTCGCTTGACTTGCGAGCTCCGCAGGCTGGGGCTTAATGACAGTATTGGTGTTGACAAGAATGTCGGCCGATGCTTGATCGCACCGGTTTTGCGTCTCGACCTTAGTGACGAGCAAGCGCGTGAGCTTGTCGTTCAAATGCTAGAAAATCCCAATTGTGCTTACGTTCATGTTTCTCCCCCAGCCTTGAGCCAGAGACATCGCAGTTTGAAGCACCGTGATGGTGCCGATGCTTCGTGCTATTCAGCCTCGTGTAGCTTGTTGTACGAGTTCTGCGGGAAGCTCTTTAGCATGTGCATTCTCTTTTCATGCGAAAACCCTGGACAGTCAGAGCTGTGGCGAACGTCACAGTGGTGCAAGCATACTTTGTGTTTCAACTCCATTGATATTGTTTTTCACATGTGCATGTGGGGGTCTCTCAGCCCACGTTTCACACGCATTGTTCATTCTGTGCCTGCGCTCATGCAGCTTGGTGTCCGTTGTTGCGGTGTTGGTCCCAGTCACACGCATGAATCGCGGAACATGCTCCATGACTACATTCCCCCTAGATCTCAGTCGGGCTTGGGCAAATGCAATTGTAGAACAACTTGTTGCTTTGGGCGCCTTGCCGCGTGCGCGTTCCTTGGAGGAGTCCCGAGCTCCCCTACACCGTGAGGCCCAAGTAGCAGCAGCTTCACAGCCAACACGCAAGAATGTGCCCCCTCTTGTTAGTGAATTTCGCTGTGTGGCGACAATTGACACGCCCACGCCTTTTCTTGATACAGCTTACAAGAAACTTGAGGCGCCAATTTCCATTCCTGCAGGTGCCAAGTGTGATCCAGCATTGACAGTGCTGCCACCAGGTTCTCGCGTCATTCGCAGGCAATTGCTGGGGGTGAGTTCGCCTGCTTTGAAGCTCGATATCGGGTCGGAAACCAGAAAACCCATTAACAGCCCCGTAGCTTCTACTCCCGAAGTAAGCAAGCCTAGTCCTGGTCGAGTGCGATCCGAAGCCACTCATCCCGCAGAGGTTTTTGCTGCATCTTGCCTAGAGCTTGGGTATATCGACCCGGGAAAAATTTCCGAGTTCACTCAACTTCTTGAGTCGGAGCTCCCGGCCAGAGGAGGTGGAGGTCAGCACGAATTTTCCTTCACGGTGGGATCCTTTGTTCATGGCGGTGTTTATGGGCTTAGAACTTCGTCGGTTAACTTCCCGCTGACAACTCAGGTCCTTGCAAGGTTCATGCGCCAGCAGTGCCCAGATGCTGTTTTCACGAGCCTGGCATTGATGAAGGATGTGCAAACGACATTACACATTGACACAAATAACTCGTTACCTTACTTGAACACTGTGGCGAAGGTCACCAACTTCGAGGAAGGGGGTTTGTGGGTTCACAACGATCACGGCGACCTGAGTCCTGATACAAAGTTTGGGCAGCTGATGGGAACGAAGGTGGACTTCGAAAAAGGGGTCATTAGGTTCGATTCGCATCTTAAGCGTTGCACGCTCCCGTGGACCAAGGGACCCCGAGTGGTCCCAATAGGGTTTGTCGTGAAGGGTCCCGAGTTGATGCCATCGGATTTAGTGAGTAGCCTTAGTGCCTTTGAGTTCAACATGCCGAACGAACCCATTGTGCAGCCTCTTCCCAGTGAGAGCCACTCCTCACCGGCAGGGCCCGAGGAGTCCCATTGGCATAGGGTTGTAGTAGGCATCCCTTGGTCACCTGAAGAGTTCATCGGTAAAGCCTTGGAGGCTACGCACCCGAGGCATTTGATGACAGGCATCCCAGCCGAATTAAAATCCACAATTGATCAGCTTGTAACCCTTAGTCCTTGTGAGGTCGGAGCCGAAAGGACAGCCCAGCTTAGGAAATGGGTTGCAAGGGTCCAGGAGATTGAGCCGATGGAGAAAATGATCAAGCAGCGTATGAGCGAATCTTGTGCAAAAGTCCTTCGGAGTAAACGCTTAGTGGTCTTCAAAGAGATGCTTGAAGCCAGCGGTCACAAGGATGATTCGATAGTCGGCGACATTGCTGAAGGTTTCAAGCTTAGCGGCCCCATACCGCCATCTGGGGTTTACAGGTCAAAAAGAACTTCGGCGACCCTTACCACGGCGGCACTGAGAAGATCGGCGCAGGTGCTTCGGAAAGGGATTATACACTCGACTAAGGGATCAGGAGACTTCGAGCTTGATTGTGCAACATTCGATGCTACTCGTGACGAGCTTCAGCGAGGGTGGCTTTTTGGACCTGTACCAGAAAAGGACCTCCCTTGTGAAGCAGTGGTTACCCGTAGATTTGGCATACGTCAAGGGGGAAAGTGCAGGCCCATCGACAACTACTTGGAATCAGGTGTCAACGCGACGACCAGCGCTGCAGACACAATTACTGTCCACTCGGCCGATGTGCTTGCTGCTGCTTTGTCGTACCGCATTCACAAGCTCCGCTCAAAGCGGCTGTCGGCAAGCTTGTATTCCAGGTCGTGGGATCTTGCGAAAGCATACAAGAATCTTGCACTCCATCCTGAATCAGTTCCTGATGCTTTCCTGGCCGTATGGAACCCACGCACAAATAAGACTGAGATCTATGGCCAGCTGGTGCTGCCTTTTGGTGCCAGATCCAGCGTACATTCATTTTGCAGAACCTCGCTGGGGATTTGGATCATAGGGGTGACCTTGTTCCTTCTGCATCGGGGGGTATATTTCGACGATTTCTTGGGATCCGAAACACCCCGCTTGTCCAAACTATTCGAGCTCTGCGCGGACGGGCTGTTCCTGATATTGGGCTGGGCCACATCCTCCGACAAAGCTTCTGTTTTTGATTCTATTTCGATTGTACTTGGCCTGAAGATTAATCTCTCCGAATCTGGAATCGGCTTCGTCTACTTTGAGAACACCGACAAGAGGCGAGAAGAGCTGGTGTCCACTCTCGGCGATGTTCTTTCTGCTGGGTTCCTTAGCCGTAAGGACGGTGAACGACTACGTGGCAGACTGCAATTTGCAGAGCAGCAGATTTCTGGCAAAAGGGCTGGATTGGCGTTCAAGGAACTATCGAGACATGTGGCGAAAGGGGGCGGTAAGTTGGTACCTGAAACCACTGCTGCCCTAACCACCCTTAAGAACCACATTGCTTGTGCTCCAGCTCGCTGCATAGCGGATCGATCGTGTTTTACCTGGCATCTTTATGTCGACGCTTCATACGATGATTCGCGGGCTGGTATCGGTGGAATCTTGATTTCGGAGTCGGGAGCTTACATTGGCCACTTCAGTGAGTTCCTCGACGATGCAGCCTTGACATCCTTGAATACAACTGGGAGCGAGAATCCGATTTTCGAGTTGGAGTGCTTTGCTATTTGGTGTGGCATTTTCGCTTGGGCACGCTTGCTTCGCCACTGCCATCTTATTGTATTCACTGACAATGAGGGAGCTTTGCACTCGATGATCAATGGTCGCAGCGAGAATGATTCTGGTGGCCGTATCGTTTCTGCTACGCGTAACCTACTTGACGAAGGTTGCATTGCTCCGTGGTTTGAGCGTGTCAACACAGCTTCCAACATAGCTGATTTTCCTTCGCGGGGAGTCTCTAAAGAAGAGTGGGGAGCGAGAACTCCCATTGATTATGTGCGCCTCGCACGGG